GAATCAAGGACAAATACTGCAAGACAATCTTTGATTTCCTTCAAGGAAAGAGCACAGTAAAAAATAAAAGGGCAAGAAATTTTACGGTCAAAGCTGAACTTACGCAGAATCAAATTGTTGACAACTTCAGTGTGTCCCATCTCGCATGCGCGAAAGATGGGCGTGTGCTGAAGCATGTCCAGTGCATCAACGCAGGCTCCAAATTGGATCAGCAGCTTGACACAGTTCACGTGACCAGAGTAGGCAGCCGAATGCAGCGCTGTTCCTCCCAATTTGTCTTTGGCGTGCACGTCTAAGTTGTGCTCTAACATTGTCTTTAACGCACTCTCACTTCCTGGTGAAATTGAATAATGAAGCACTATTGGCGTGAAGAGGACAGCCTTGACTAGAATAATAGTTATTTAAGGTGACTGGTTATGGAAGCCGGAAATTTCAAATCGAGTGTCAACAGCAATGTAGCATTGCATTATTTTGTCTCACTACGCTTTGATTGATCAAGAAAACCAGCATCCTACTCTAAAATCCAAACAGTTGCAACAATAGAACCTATCACGACTTGGTTACCCGCGTTTTCCCGCGCTTAACACCAGTTACACGCGTTTGATCTGTACTCTCATTGGTTCCTTGTGATGCTAACCTCCGTCCTGATTGGCTTCCGGGAAAGTTTGGTTTTAGTTTTATGACACTTCCTCGAATTACGCTTCAAATGAGAAACTAACCTTTCCCTGCAGCCCACATGAGAGCAGTTCTTCCTTCATTATCAGGAATATCGTTGACTTTGTCGAAAGACAGGAACACTTTGACAGTTTCACAATAATTGCTCTGAGCCACGTAATGAAGAGCAGTAGCCCCATTGCTGTCTGCAGCAGTGAAATCCGCATTTCTCTCCAGTAGCATTTTCACTAACTGAGAGTTGCCTGAAAAATGAATTTCCACGTAGAGAATTAAATTTCAGAACTTGGAATTTATTAATAACATTATACTAAAAGCAGCAAATATGCTCTTTTCAGTCCACACTCATTCTATCTCATAGAAGGGTTTATATGAACTATGAATAAACTGTAATACCTGTAATTGAATTAGCTTTATATTCCACAACTCTCGAGTTTTACTTTACCCTACTTTTGTTTCCGTTTACAGATCTCTTAGACGTTTCTACGTGACAGCGTTTTTCTCTTATGTCTTCTTTTGGAATTTAAGGCGGGAAATTGGCGCGCGGCCGGCTAAAATTGGTCCCCTTGCGCATGCCCTACGTTTGACTACTGTGTTCGCTCTATCCTTCAACCAACCTAACACCGCTGCCCAGTGTAGAGGTGACCGGCTCATGTTGTCTTGGGCCGACACTTTACACTTGTCAAGAGCCAGCAACACCTTAACAGCCGCCTCATTCTGCTCTGCCACAGCAAGATGCAGAGCAGTCCTTCCTTCATTGTCCTGATGGTTGACGATATCCGAGTTTGCTTCCTAGGAAAGGAAGAATCAATAAAATTTCAGTTATGAAGTAGCTAATATGATAAATAGGGTAGCTCTAATGTCAAAGCCTGTTGATGAATTTTTTAATAAATGACCATTCAAATGAAAGCTCCTAAGCAGCTCGTTCGTCTGTTGAGTATCGAAATTGATCCTGGTTGCTTAGTTTTTCTTTCCTTCGCTCTATAATTGGTCTTAAAACCTTCACCACCATCTTATCTAATCAGATACAAAAGGAAAACCAATTCCATATTGGATACTCGCATTTTCCCGCGCTTCGAGCAGGTTACCTGTTTTTATTTTGAGTTCTCGTTGGCTAACGATGATGATCTCTTTGCTCTGATTGGTGATTGAGATTATTTTGGTTTTTGTTTTTTGACATTCAGTTGAGAAATTTGTCTGTTCTACTGCCCAAGGAGGTCCTGACTTTGAATTCTTTAGATAATATTCCAGAGTGTGGTCATTCAAATGACAGCTACCAAGAAATGCAAGGACAAGATTGTGGATGAAAGTTTCCGTGCCCAACCATCCAGGTGGGGGAGAGGGGGGAGGCATTTGTTTGTCATCTATAGTACCTTAATTGCACCCTTTCAATTCAACCCTTTAACCCCTGCAAGTGACTGGCATCTAATTTCTCCTTACCATATCACCCCTGAATCAAATATTAAGGTCAAGAGAATAAAGTAAAAGATCATCAACTAAAAAAGCTCTTAGTTAAACAAATTCTCCTTTTCTGCACCTTTGTAAATGTATAGAGAACAGCAAAGAGAATATGCATACTGATATTTGGGTGTAAAGGGTTAACCTTCTCCTGTGATAGGTAGTTCTCCAGATGAAGCCTTCCCACCAGTCCACCTTTATATTTCTTTACTTTACATGTCTAATCATATATGAATTCAAGTTATGCAAGATTTCTTACCAAAATGAGTTTCACAACAGCAGGATCTGGATTTGTTATTGCCCAGTGAAGAGGTGTCCTCTCTGAAAAGTAAATTAATAAACATCATTAATCTTTGTAAATTAGTCTCTCTTTAAAGGTTCCAGTCCATTTAATGATGGTAACAGGACTGAGTGGAGTCCAATTTGGTCTGTAATCATATGAATGATTGACAAAATTGGACCACCACGAGGCGGGAGTCCAATTTGTCAACCACTAGTATAATTACAGACAGATTTGGATGACACAACATCCTATTGCAAATTAATCATAACCATTACAATTTCTGCGAAAAAATACATCTAGAGCAAACATCTCCTATGGAAACAATGTATAAAGCTAAAAATTCCTTCATTTTGGATGCCCAGTTTTTCTTGCGATAAGTGGTTGTTACTAGGGTTATTGGGATCAATTCTGTGATTGGTGGATTTAGCTGAGTGGACTGAGTACAATTGGCTGCTTCAACTATCCCATTACAGGTGTCCGGTTCCAGCCAACTGTCTGATTACACTGTCGGATTACAACTGTACAGAATGATTAGTGAAAAATAAAGCAGTTAGTGCACCAATCACATTTGAGGAAATTGTAATGGTTATTATTAAATAGTTATTATTAAATAGTTACTCATTCCTTCCATTTTCTAATGAGAAACTTCTAGACCCTGCCACAAAGTTGTCATTTTTTTGCGTTTTTTTAGGCAAGCAGAGGCATGAGCAAAGAGTAATTAAATTCATGTGCTCTTCATGCATTCACCTCACACTTGCCTCCACTCGCCGGAAAAATGAAAAAAAATGACCCCTCTTCTGTAGTAAATTGTTAATGAACCCAATTCTCTGTAAATTAAACGTCCTGATCCAGTGTTTGTTGGAACATACTTTCCAAGTCAGTAACCGTCACAGAGCATCCTGCCTTTAGCAATAGCTTGACATGCTCAGCATTCCCATAAGACACACTCCAGTGAAGAGATGTCATCTCATCATTATCTGGTTCATCTGCTTCGCCCTTAGGGACTCGTTTCAGTAAGATGCTTAAGCACTGAAAGTAATTGGAAAGAAAGTGTTAAAATAAAAAATTAAATAAACTAGTTAGGGAATTCTTCTGGTCACAGTTCTTTTTGCTGCGAACACATTTCAGACTGATTAAATGTATACAATGGGGAAGGGTGAGGTGACTGTTAATGTACATTAGCACCCTTAAAAATACTACTAACATCGATTTCGGAAGATAAACATACATTTTATTTGAAAGATTATTTTTTGTTTTATTTAAGTGGTTCTGTTCCAAGCGACCATCCAACTTTAACTCCCATGAGTGACCAAGACAGAATTTCTCCTTACAATATCAATATAATATCAACCAGATAAGTGATGAGAATAAAGAAAAATAACACTTTGGGGATAATTAGTTGATCCAATAGTAAATTCTCTGAACTAACATTATAAGAATTGTATGGATGACAGTAAGGAGAATAACAAATTTGATCTGGGAGTTAAAGGGTCAACAAAAGTTTGACTGTAGAACCAAAAACAATCAACCGCAACAAAGATGGCAACGGCAAGGAGTAGTTGACAAACCTTGGGTGATTGATGGCTTGTGGCAAAATGGAGTGGAGTTCTAAAAAGTGGCAGACAGATTTTTATTTTGTGGTTTTAAATGAATTTTTAAGACAAAGATGAGTAAACATGAAAATTGGTCATTTATATAAAACACAAATTCAACTCTATTCATTTTAACACCCACATGTCACTTACAGGACAAGGTGCCATGGCCTAACACAAAGTTTAACTTCCCATCAAGATGACTGGGAATAAAAGAAATTGCAAGAATCAGGCTAACATTACTTAAGAGTTGTAGAAAACATTGATATTCAAGAGTATAAAAATTTCCCTGCTCTCCTCAAAAATCTACAAGTCTTTTGGTTTCCCATAAACTTCAATAAATTTCCTTGATAGAAGTAAATTTTAATATTTTTTTCTGTAAATTTGACCTCCGTAAACAAACGTGTGTTTTCCATTCAAGATTAAAGTGACTTTACTAAACCTTTTTCAATTTTGGATAACATGTAGGAACATCCACTTAACAACTTTTAGCCATAAACTAAAATCTTCAAGGATCTCCAGGTTTCAGAAATTTTTAGAGATTGGCAAAGCTAGAATTATTCATTATACATAGTATTTCCTAGAGTGACCTATATTAGCTAGGCTACCTAACCATGTTTGCAAAAATATAAAAAGGAAATAAAAAAGAAATGTGATCAGAATTATTCAAAGATTGTTCTGAAGATGCTACACACCTTCCTTTGTTGTCTTTTACTTTCCAATTTGCTCCTTTAGACAGCAGTAGTTTTACACACTTCACATTTCCCTGGGTGTAAAAATAACAGGCTAATTATCAAC